GCTAGAGAGACAAAGCTGGTGGTAGACAAGCAAGAGTCTTCAACTTGCTCATCCCTAAAACACTGAATGGACCAAACTGCTGCAAGCTCAGGTCTGAAGGAGCTTTAGACTTACCTGGAGCCTTGCAAATCAGGGCTCTCGAAACCAAGTAAAACTAATTATCGAGAGAGACAGAAATGTTGGGCTTGTAGGTGCTACTTGAATGCTAGTGATAACACAGCAGGAAAAGACATACTGATGTACAATACTGATGCAGACTCCAGGCTAACGTTCCCCGGGTATAAACTGGATGAGCAGCTGAAGTTTATACAAACCTGCCAGTTCATAAAAGCTATGAAATTCCAGGAATTAAAATTCTGATAATGACTAATGTTTATTAAATCACTGGGGCTAAATAGAAAACCCAAACAATTTATTTCCGTCACCATCTCAACTGCCTGACTTAAGAGAATCAGGGTGTAAAAAATAAAATTACAAAAACACATTCTCCTATTCTTGCACAGGAACATCTAACTACAGTAGAAATAGCACTGTAGTTACTTTTAGAGATAGAGCGAGCTGGAAATGCATGGTCTACAATAATGAAAATATGATTAGTAAGATCCCTTCTTGCTGGCACGTAAAACTCTATATTCTGTACGCTCACCCACAACCTCACCACTGACGATGAAAATAACTTTAATGCTTGGTCACTGCAAAGGTGGTGCACAAATAGTTACAGTTTCACAGATGCCTACATCAATATTTGGCAAGAATATAAACCCTCTCTTTAGCTGCACTCTAGCCAACCTGTTAGTGCTTATAGTCAAGATTATACAGCATTCAGGCAAACAAAAGTGCAGAATTCCTTAGGGAGAAAATCTAAATATACCTCCTGTAGGCAAGGCCCGCAGCCTTTGAAAGCCTGGCCTACAGTGGTGTAGGCCTGAGTTATGTCCAACGTGTAAACTGAAGTAACATGAAGTAATCCAGAGCTTGCAAAGAATGACACAACAGTAAAAAGCACACCCTGACACGTGAATTGTATTACATTCAATTTATTTTACGTTCTGTATGACAGGGGTAAAATTTTAATTAAAGTATTTTGAGATTAATTGCTACAAAATCACAGTTTCTCTTGGGTGGTTTCGGCTTGGGCGTTCTCCTTAGGGCTCCTCTTGCTCTCGGCCTGCCTTGGACCGCGCTAGTCAGAAAACCCCACTATTTTCTGAAGGACGAAGCCTTTCCTCTGTAGTGTGGAAATGTTCTGAGGCGTAAGACGAGCTCCCTACGGAACTAGAGACTTGTCTCTAAAATGTAAAATGGCAAATAGGATTTACCAAATTACTATCACCTAATTTTTATGTCTTAAGTTTCATAAGTATTATATGTAATAAAATACAGAATATACATACATAAATAATTACACCTACTTAAAGTATTATATTTAGTGTTCATTGGTGCTACAGAAACTAAAAGAACTAAAGGCAGAGTGGCTATTTTAAACAGATTAAAAAATGACAGTTTAGTAGTTTGTAAAAAATAAATGTACAATCATTTACATTATGTGGTTTGTTTTTTTTTTTTTTTTCCCCCCTGCTGTTGGGATCCCCTAGAGCTTATGTTCTCAATTCAATATTTAATATTTTCAAAATTAATACAAACATAGGTGAGATGGTAAAAATGGGTGAGGGAAAATCCATAATAACCAACCTGGATCAAATAACATTGTTTACAGCAATAGCGAAGAGAAATGTTTTTCTAGAATACAGTGATGCTGAAAAAGAATTTAAAATGAAGGTACTTTGATGGCATGATTCTAAAAGTAAGGTCAGTTGATTCTTTATTCCTCTCCTTTGGTAGGTAGCCCCCAGCTTGTATAATAATGGGCATAAATGCAGAAATTAAGTGAATTTCTTATTAAGTGAATTTCTTATGACTGCTGCTAAACAGGCAAAAGGTGTCAGTACCCAGTTTTGCTCTGGCATTGGGTTCAAGTAGGCTGTGCTTCCATATTTTGCCTTTGTCAGGACTGTTTGGCAGAATTTCGTAATTGTTCACATTCAGAGGAACCTTTGGAGACCATCTAGCCCAAGCACCTCCTCAGAGCAGGGTCAGCTCGGCCAGGTTGCTCAGGACCTTGTTCAGTAAGGGCCTCGGTATCCTCAAGGGTGGAAATTACACAGCCTCTCTGGGAAACACAGTCCTACTATCAGTCACCTTCACAGTTAAAAACCCCAAATAAGCCCCAAACACACACAAAGAAGCCCACAACCCCCCCGACTTATGTTTAAAAGGAATTCCCTGTATTTCAGTTTGTGCCCATCGCCTTTTGTCTTTTCCCTGGGCACCACTGAGAAGAGTTTGATTGTCTTCGTTCCCTTGCATTGGTGAGATCAGCCCCGAGCCTGGTCTCCAAGCTGACCAGCCTCAGCTTGCTCAGCCTCTCTGTATGCCGGGAACTCCATTCCTGTAATTATCTTTAATTATCTTTGCGTGCTCCCGTGTGTCCGTGCCTTCCTGGTCCCGTGGAGCGCAGGACGGGCGCGGCGGTGCTGAGGGGGGGTCAGCGCCCGGACCCGCCGGCGGCGCAGCCTGGGAGGGTGCTGAGCTGCCCTGCGCCCCGCAGGTCCCTTCGCTTGCCCACCGGGACCCGGGGCCTCTTCTAAAAGCTGCTTTTCAGAGGGCGGCCCCAGCCTGCTGCCCTGGTGCGCGGGGTTGTTCCTCTGCGGGGGCTGGACCCGGCGTTTCTCTCTGTGGAACCTGATGAGGGTCCCGCTGAGCCCGGCCCGGGGCCTGTGGCCGTCGCAGCCCCGAGGTTCCCCCCAGCGGTGGGTGTACGTTGGACTGCGGGCACGCCGCCGCCTTCCCACTAGGGCGCTGTCAAGATACCTTTTTGGAAAACGCCCCCAATTCTGGCTTGTGCTACTTTTAAAAATACAGCTAAGATTTTGGTGGGCTCTTCACTTCCCTGTCCTTACCTTAGTCACTTTCCCTGTTCAAATATTCCAGGCTTCTTGTGCTTCCCTTTTCTTCACTATCAACAGTGTCAGTGGGCATTCCTCCGTTCTCTGCACTTGCTTGACTGTAAAAAACAAAACCTGCAGCGTGTTTATCAGTACAGGCCCAACCCTGATTCATGTGATGCTTTGCTAAATTAATCCCTGTTTATTATGGGGAGTTACTGATTTTTCTCCTGTTAAACATGTTATCCCTGTTTGTATGGCTCAAACTGAGAAAATTACTTTCAGATCGATTGTGTGGGTCCAATTCTTACTATTTTTCTCATGTATCAGATGATACAGGAAATCGACTTCGGTTCCAGTTGGAGTTAGAGTTTGTGCAATGTCTGGCAAATCCAAATTACCTCAACTGTGAGTACTTAAATATCAGGGTCCTGAGGAGTGAATGTAGTTTAATGGTGTTTATTATTACTGGTAAAGTTAAACAGGGAGAGAGAGAGCTAAACAAAGAAAAGGAAGTGGTCTTTCACAGCATAAAGGTAGTCTGTACATGTGTCTAGATTTCTAACAGGTGGGTTTTTTAAAATGCAAAATTTTTTATTGGCTGAAGTAAAAAAAAATTGCATGTCTGGTGGAGAAAAAAAAAAGTCTGTGGTTAAAAGTAATGTCAAGTTAAGAATGTTCCTTCATCTGAAAACAGAATTGTACTAATGTTAATAGTTTCAGGTACTAAATTCCCTGCCCATTTTGGTACTACAGTCAAAATTTCCTGTTTCAGAAAGCTGTTCTCTTTCTTGCTGTTTTATGAAAGATACATACTCTTAAGTGCTTAGTATGTTGACATAAAAATATTTTTGAATTAGCAAAATTTGATTGTAATGATAAAGTTTTGACTAAAGTGCCTCTTTGTTTAGTTTTGTGAATACCTACTCTCCCGGTTTGTCAGATTTTTTTTCATGCATCTGTAACTGACAATTCCTTATTTGTCATTTTATTTCAGTTCTTGCACAAAGAGGCTACTTCAAAGACAAGGCTTTTGTAAATTACCTTAAATATCTACTTTATTGGAAAGAACCTGAATATGCAAAATACCTGAAGTAAGTGTTAAAATCTCTTAGGTTTGTGCATGTTAATGGTTTGACGTTTGCCTTCTGTTAGGTACTGTGCAGCAGCATGTCAATATTTGATTTCTGCCCATAACCTTACCTTTTCTCTCCCTGCTGTGTTTACATGCAATTTTCCTGTTTCCAACAATTCAGATGTAGCAAGGATACATTATAAAACGTCTTTCACAAGTCACACATGGAATCTTCCTTTTGCAGCCTTTATCTGCACTTTACCATTTGTTTAAAATAGAACTATTGAACATTATGGTACAAAACTACTTCAGTTAGGCCCAGTAATTTTAAGAGTAATTTTGCATTGTTGATGCTTAAGACAAAGATGACCTTACATTTCTGTGAGTGTGCAAACTCCTTCAAATTTTGGGGAAACACTTCTTGGTTATGTTCTTTAAATGAGCTCTAGAAGCAGATATTATAGTTGTTATGTATTTGCTTTAGTAAAACCCAGCCATTAGAAAAGCCAGTCTCAGCAGGCGTGTGCATGCGTTTATAAACTGCTCTTGGACTCCCTGGTTTCCTAGCCTAATCCTGATGTTAGCAAGTTACAGGGTGTGCAGTATGTACAGTCTTAAGTGTTTTGATACTTAAGCACAGACATAAGACTCCAGTTTTACTGTACTTTGTAAAAACTTATATTAAAGCATGTTTATTTTTAATCCAGGTATCCTCAGTGTTTGCATATGCTAGAGCTGCTCCAGTATGAACACTTCCGCAAAGAACTGGTCAATGCTCAGTGTGCTAAATTTATTGACGAGCAACAGATTCTTCACTGGCAGCACTATTCTCGGAAAAGAATGCGTCTCCAGCAAGCGCTTGCAGAGCAGCAGCAACAAAACAACACATCTGTAAAATGAAAAACGCTTGGAAGAGTGATGATAAGGTGTCCTCTGTCTCAGCTGAAGTATTTACAAGAGAGGCATGAAGCCTTTTGTAGGTTTGGCTCTGGGTGTGCATACATTTCATTTTTGATTAATCAAGTGACTGGGTTTCTTTTTTATTTCATCAATTTCTTTAAAGATAAAAGACTGATAAACACCTACTTCTGCAATATGTTTTGTAGCCTGGACAATTTTGTAAGAGCATTACTTATTGTAGCTACTGGTTCCTCTTGAGTTTGAAAACAAAACAGTTTTGTTATTGATATTTAACTATATAACAAAAAACGTAGCTCAGAGGTCTGCTCAGGAGGCATTTTCCCTGGAGAATAATGATGTGTGTCAGCATGTGACTAAGAACTCCCTCATGTACAACTATTTACAACTGCAGGATGAGCAAAGTTGAAGTGGTGATACTGTACAAAATCTAAATTGTGGACTTTTACCTTGAAACAGAGCCAAGCTATTACTTGTCATCTCTGTTTATCTAGTAATCATTGTTGCTGGGGGTCTTAGTTTTCCTTACAGCATTTTATAGATAGAAATTGGAAGTGTGACGAGAGGACTGCAGGAGTGGAGCAGAGAGAAGTAATAAACTTTGCAGATACTGAACAGAAGGAATTGGGCTGTAGCTCTATCTATTCCAGTCCAGGAAGCTTACTTTAATCTTGTTTTTCTGCCAGTGAAACAGTGGCTGCTCTTGGGCTTCTCTGCAGTACAGGTAGTGAAAACACTTTGTGTTACAAAAAAAGGTGTAAATGCTTGCAGTATTGGAGAAGCATTTGCCATTTATGCCTCTAGTTTTTATTGTAAGAACACCATCTTGGCAGTTGTCAGGGATTCAATTTTCATGTTTTAGACTGTATTTGTGCTGCATTCGTGTTGGAGTTTGTATCCTTGTAGGAGCAGGTACTGCAACTGTTAACCCTTAACGTGTCATCAGAGACACGAAGACTGTCAGCTTTTGGCTTACCAGACTGAACAGATAAGCCATTAAACATCTTTGGCATTGAAAATTTATCTTAACAGCTTCAGTAGTTATGTGAAATCAGATTTAGGAAGAACAAGGAGATTTTTCTGTCTCTCCTACACCCCCCACCCCCACCCCCCCCC